GCGCCTCCCTGGCCACCGTGCTCGCCTCCGACCCGGACCTGGGCCCCAACGGCAGGGTCACCTACCGCCTGCTGGACAGTGAAGTCATGGGCGGCCCCATCTCCACCTATGTCTCTGTGGATCCGGCCACGGGGGCCATCTACACGCTCCGCACGTTCAACTTCGAGATCCTCAAGCAGCTCGAGCTCACCATCCAGGCCACCGACGGCGGGTCCCCTCCACTCTCCAGCACCGCAGTGGTGAACGTGCGTGTGCTGGACCAGAACGACAACGCGCCCGTCATCACACACCCAGCACTCACCAACGGCTCCCTTGAGATCGGGGTCTCCAGCAAGGCTGCACGGGACTCTGTCGTGGCGCACATCAGGGCCCGGGATGCTGACGAGGGCGTCAACTCGGAGCTCAGCTTCTCCTTGCTGGAAGATCCCCAGAGGCAGCAGCCGGGCGCCCTGGAGCTCTTCGCCATGGACAAGAGGACCGGGGAGGTCGTGCTGACCCGGAGCTTCTCCGAAGAACAGCTGGGCTACGTCTACCCGCTGCTCCTCGTCGTGGCTGACAACGGGCAGCCGCCCCTCTCTACCACGGCCACGGTCAGCTTCCAGGTGACCGCACAGCTGCCCCCCTCCAGTGGCCAGAACTTGGTGGCCAAGCGCAACGCGTGGGAAGGGAAAGCGCTGCAGTGGGACATCCCCTTGATTGTCATCATCATCCTGGCCGGGAGCTGCACCTTGCTGCTGGTGGCCATCATCACCATCGCCACCACTTGCAACCGGCGCAAGAAGAAGAAGGGCGCCCTGGAGGAGCCGCTGAACGCCTCGCACCTGGAGAAGGGGCTGCAGGAAGACAAGCCCTGCAGCCTCCGAGCCGCCGGCAACAGCTTTGAGGGGCACTCGTTCGCCAGCAAGTCTTCCTTCACCAGCCCGGAGCCTTCCCCAGCCAGCGAGGACATCCCCGTCTCCGAGAGCAGCAGGGAGAGCGCCAGCCTGTACGACAGCCAGAGCCGGCTGCGAGGCGCCAGTGCAGAGGTACCGTTCCCAGGGCTTTGGCTCTTGCTCCCCGGCCCCATGCGAGCCTCCTGAGGGCTGGGAAAGTGACCTTCCCAATGGGTCAGGCTGGAATGCTTTGCGATGTTGACATGCAGGAAGGCTTGCGTTTGAAGTCGTTCAAAGTGGAGCTGACAGGCCAATTAGAGCAAAGCCCAGGATTGTAAATTGCTGAGATCTGTCAGTGTAAGGGGCGGCTGGGCTTTAAATGCAAGCATTTCCGATCCACTCCGTTCGCCTTGTAACCGTGCCGCTTCTGCTCCCCTCTCCCCTGCACCCCCTTGTGCCTCTGTCCTCCAATCCCCTCCCAGTCTTACGCCTCCACCCCCAGTTACAGCAAGGAGCCGGTTCCACCTGTTGCCATCTGGAAGGGCCACTCCTTCAACACCATATTGGGCAGGGAAGCCGAGAAGTTCAGCGGCAAGGACAGCGGCAAAGGGGACAGCGACTTCAACGACAGCGACTCCGACATCAGCGGAGACGCCCTCAAGAAGGACCTCATCACTCACATGCAAAACGGTAGGCCTCCTCCGCCCCCCCCCCCCCGCCAAGGGCTTTGCCAGCTGTGGCTGACAGGCGTGGAGGTCCCAGACATTCGGTTGTGGCTCAGCTCGTTTTGCAAGCCCTCCTTGATTCTGAGGAATCCAGGGAACGTGGAGCCGGTGGTGCTGCCACTACAGCCCTTTGCGAGCACTCTCTGGATCCCAGCGGTTACTCGCCATCTCAGACTAGGAAGAGCACCCGGCCCTGTGTGGCGAAAAGCGCGAGGCACTTCTCCGCCACGAGAACCTTTGTCCTGCGCTTTCCCAAAGGAGCCCGGGGGGCTGCCCCATATTGCATCACAGCACCGTCCGAGGTGGCCCTTGGCTGAGAGACGGGGATGATGGGATGTCACCCATGAGGTTCCCCTGGCCCAGCCTTCCCCAAGTGAGTGCCTTCCAGTCGTGGTGGAGCACAACCTCTGTCTGCCCCAGCTGGCCAGAGGGATGGGAATTGCAGTCCAGCCCATCTCAGCATGCCACATCATGCTGTCCCTCCCTGGAGGATGACACGCTATCAGATGCCCTGGCTGCTTCTCCACCGCCTCACCTCCGTTAAAGCGAAAGCGTGCCCTGGCCCCTGCTTTCCCGGTGAAGTTTGAAATGCAGCTGTGATCCAAAGGGCGAAGAGGCAAAAGGTGGGTCACTGCTCAAGTCCACGTATTTCTGCCTTGCCTCTCGGCCTCTTCCGCCTCGCTGTCCACCATTTCCGGTGGACTTCATTCCCCTTTTGTCCTTGGACAAAACAAAAATGCTGCTGCTTATTGTAACACAGCCTTCCCCAAGCTGGTGTCCTCTGCACCCTTTGGTTGCCCCCCCCCCCCCCGGTCTCTGGGAATGAGTCGGAGAAAGCACTGAGGGGCCCAGCTGCTGAGACGCGGCTCTGGCCGGGCCGGGCCGATGAGCCCGCTAGCCAGGCCTTGCCACCGCGTGGCCGGCGGAGGCGACAGCCAGCTGTGGTGCCTGTCCTCTGATGCCCTGCCATGCAGCCCCGGAGGAATGCGCAGTCCCGGGGAGGGTGGGAGGAGGAAGCAGGAGGACCTTCAGCGCAAGGGAAGCTGCGTCGTGCACTGGTGTGGAGACGGCGGGTGGCAGTGCGGACAGCACACTGGGCAGTCCATCCTCCACTGGAACCCCAAGCCCTGACCCAGCAGACTGAGTTTGTGCCCCGTTGCTCAAGAGACCAGTGCCATCAGCCCCAACTAGCATCACCCGTGCTGGAGTTGGTTCCTTGGTTAACTTCATACCCCACCTTTTTTCCTTGTGAGGAACCCAAGGGGGCTTACATAATTCTGCTCTCAACCGTATCCTCACAACAACAACCCTGTGAGGTAGGCTGGGCTGAGGGTCTGTGGATGGCCCAAAGTCCATCCAGTGGGCTGAGTAGAAACTAGAAGCAGATTTCTTGTGGCCAGATACCAGGAAGCACCTGATGGGATATTTTTAAAATAACCGTACTGTGTTTGTGCATTGGGCATTTTCCTTTGGACCTGTCTGCCTGGGGAACTACTGCTATGCACAGTCCAAAGTTAAGCTCAGACACTTCTTAAATGCCGTGCTTCTATTGCATGAGTGCTGCTCACATCATCGGATCTTCTGTTATTCTAGTAGGCTTCTAAATATCACGGCAGGCAACAAAGCGAATGCAGAAGGAAGCACTTGGAGGTTTTGTAGCGGCATGCAGTGTGAGTCCCCACAGTGCCCCCGGAAGGATTCCTCCAGACAACCATGAAGACAAACCAGCATCCCCGAGATACAGGATTTAAACACAACCACTGTTTTGTTGCTTTGCAATACACATCTGGAGGCCAGCAGGGTAGAACAGCTTGCTTTTCGAGACAGATTTCCCTGAAGCAAACATCAGGTTTTTGTCCAGGCATCTAGGTCACCTGCCCTTCTTATCTTTTTATGGAAGGGTGTTTGTTTATTGTACAGTGTTCCCCTCCAAAGCTAAGGAACAATAGAACCCAAAACCCACCTCAGAGTCCAGAAATAAAGTACTGCTATAGTTGTGATAGGGACTGCAGGTGGCACAGTGGTTTAAACCGCTGGGCTGGTGGATCGAAAGGTTGCCGGTTCGAATCTGCACAACGGAGTGAGTTCCCGTTGCTCCATCCCAGCTCCTGCCAACCTTGCAGCTCGAAAGCATGCAGATGCAAGTAGATAAACAGGTGCCACTTCGGTGGGCAGGTAACAGCGTTCCGTGCACCTTGGTGTTTAGTCATGCCGGCCACATGACCACAGAGGCTGTCTGCAGACAATCGCTGGCTCCCTCGGCCAGGAGACGGAGATGAGCACCACCCCCGAGAGTCAGGCATGACTGGACTTAATCTCAAGGGGAAACCTTTACCTTTGCCTTATAGTTGTGATGGTTTTACTTCAGCTGGAGATCAAGATTATACTGATAATAGCTGGAACTGCTGGTCTAGCAGCAGAGAGAGCCGGTATGGAGTCCTTGGGCTTTCAGCGGCAACCAAGCGGTGGGCCATTAATGGAATTTGTCCTGTTGGACAACCTTTCGGCTTTGGGTATAAGCCCTTAATCACTAACACATATGCCACAATCCAGAACTGAGGTTTTGTGAGAGATATGTCAAGGAGAGCTGTTCCTTCCTGTTCGCAGTCCACTCAACAGACAACTTTCGGAGAACCTGGGCTGCAAGGTGTAGTAAGGATTCCCCAAAAAGGAGCTTCAGGAAAGTTCTAAAGTTACTTCCCAAGCCAATTAAACTGGAATGATTTGGTTTAAAGCAACACAGTCCCTGTGGCATTGAGAACTGGATTAGACTTGGACCCTGTCACTGAGGCCTCTTAGAAGTAGTCCCACTGAAATCACTGGTCTTACTTCCCAGTAAAAATGGGGTACAAGCCAGTCAAATGTAAGCATCATTCTCTCTCTGCTTTCAATGGAAAGGTTACACATGCACGGAACTGCTGAATCAGTGGAAATCTTACTTTTATTCTGGTTAGTCTTCATGTATAGAATGAAGCTGCCCATTCAAATTTTTTGGCATAGCTGCCATTTTTTACAGCGTAAAGAAAAATTATAATTCAAGCCCCCAGTCAGCGAACTATCCAGCATGGTCTCACCTAATCAGGTGAGACCTAATAAAACTCAGCTGACTAGTCAACAAATAATCGATCCATTAACTAGGCATATCCCTACATACTTTTACCAGGGACAAAGCGCCCCCGTTTTTAGGTAGTGTGTGCTTATATTGTCTTTTAAAAGCTAAGAAAAAGAGGGGAGAAGTCAGCAATTGTGAAGGTGGCTTAGAGCCCATTCAGTCCATCCCTCCAGAGCGAAATACAACCAAGGGTGTTGTCAGGAATGCCAGAGCTTTTGGGAGTAGAGCTACAGGAAACAAGTCTGTGTGCTCATGCAAATTTAGAACTAATTCACTGGAATCGGGAAGGGCAACCTCATTGGGTCCTCATTGGGGCTGGATTTTCACCACCTGGGCCAAGCCAAAGCCCCATCCAGTGACACTTTTGGCACCCCATTTTTTTTTAAATTCATGCACGAGGCTCTGTGGCTTTCCTTAAGGGACTTGTAGAAGTGCGATGGAAAAGGCTGGGCATTGATGGCTACAAGAAGTGTGGAGAGGGGCCATGTGGAGGGCAAACCCTTCATGGACTACGTTTGGCCTCAGTATGGGCCAGACTGGACTTGCTGGCCTGCCCTTGACTCGGATTTCATTGGAGGCCACAGCAGCTGGGGAATCTCTTCTCCAAATAAAACCTTCAGTTAACCTGCACCCTGATTCAGATTATCTCAGAGTTAATTGCCATATAAGACAAGCTTTGAAAGGCATCCATTTTCTAGCATGTGGGAACAGGGAAATTAACCCTTCCCACCTCGGCTGCAGTCCTTTAAATATCGCCCCCTGCATGGCAATTCAGCTGAAGAAAGACCCCCCCCCCTTGGCACCATAGACGCTCCGGGCTCTGCAGAAGAGAACTGGGGCCTTGGGGAAATGGTCCGGGGCCCAAACGTGGGAGGAGGCCTGGGTGCAGACGTGGCAACTCTTACCCATGGCTTCAACGGCCTCCCTCCACAGCAGAGAGCGCAGCTCCCGGCGCAGAGTGCCGCGGCGTGTTTATCGCTGCCTCCTTCCCCTCCGCTTCCAGCCCTCTGCTCCGGAGCCCGGGAGCGGGGTGCTCCGCCTTGCAGTGCCGGAAGCGCGCCGGAGTTCCATTCCCAGGGCGCTCCTTCACATGCTGCCTTACCTTCCTCTTCGTCGCGCCTCCACACTGACGGGCTGCTTGTGTTTTCCAGGGCTCTGGGCCTGCACCTCCGAATGCAAGATCCTGGGCCACTCGGACCGCTGCTGGAGCCCATCCTGCGGCCGGTCCAACCCCCACCCCTCGCCCCGGCCCAAGCCGCGGCTGTCAACCTTCTGCAAAAGCACTTCGCTGCCCAGGGACTCCCTGCGCCGAGACAACTATTACCAGGCGCAGCTGCCAAAGACGGTGGGGCTGCAGAGCGTCTATGAGAAGGTCCTGCACAGAGACCACGACCGGACCCTGGCACTGCTGTCCCCCCCGCACCCAGGGAGGCTGCCCGACCTGCAGGAGATCTCAGTCCCCGTGTACCAGGCGCCCGCCCCGTGCTACCTGGGCCCTCCACCCGAGAGCACTCAGAAAGTCTGACTGCTTCCTGGGGCATCCGTGGGGAGCCCCTGAAGAAGCCGGACCCCAGGACTGCTTGCTTCCGGAAGGAGGCATTCCCCGTGCGTGATCTCTCTCTCTCTCTCTCGGCGGTGGCAGTCACGGCTAAAGAGGGCAGCATCCCTGAGCATGCGCAAAGTGTCTTTCTCGCTCTGTGGCTATCCCATTGAGCTGTATGGGAGGAGTCCTTGCATCTTGGCACCTCGCTGAACAGGCGGAGCCCTGCGTCCTGCCTCCTACCCAAGCATGCCCCTACCGAATTCCCACTGCTAGGCCATCCCCAAGCGTTCTTAAGTTATTGGCCAGGTCCAGTGATACATAGATATATACAAATGAACAAAATGTGCCTTAAACATATGAATGAGTGTATGAATTGCGCGCTCAGACTGATACACACACGCTTACATAAACGCATACACACACACGCATCCATACATAGACGTACGTGTCTGTATAGATATATAGAGCTATATGGTATGTAAATAAAGTTGGGAAAGGTTTCCAATTACATTGGTACTGTTTGATATTTGCAAACGAAAACTCTTTGTAGGTCATGTAATTTTTATGAAATGTGCAGTATTTAATTTCTTTTTCTATGTCGCTGTTTTGCTTCACTCATGGCCTGCCTTTTCATAGTGGTTTTTTAAACCTGTATATTGTGTAATGTAATGTTTGTATATAAGAAAATTCCATTCTATTTTTATATAATAAAACCTTGGGGAAGGGTGTCCAGAAATTCTTTCCAAAGGAAGTTTCTGCAAAAATGTGCTCAGAGGGGAAGAACACTGAATGCTTTAGGAATCACATGAAGTAACTTTCACAATTTAATAAGTTAGTTAAACAACTGCTTGTATTGGAAAGACTTGCCTTGCCGAGTGTAAATTGTGTTCATTTCAGTGTAAATTGAGTCCATGGTCCATTTCCAACTAAATGTGGTTTAATATTCTGTGTCACACTTATATAATCACTAATAAAAGACTTGTTACATGTCCGAGGGCTACTGATGTTGCATTTGGTTATCATCATTATGGGCTTGTGCAGGTAAAGCAACAGGCATTATTGGCAAGAAACTGGAGAAGAGTGGGATCGGCATTAAAATCTAAAGCTTGCCATGTTTTATTCTCCTGCCACCTGATTCTGAAAAAGGTCCTTTTGGAGATGGTTCAGGGCAGGTTTGCCTCTACAAGAAACATCAGGCAGTCCGGGTTCCAGATGCGCACTTGTGTACATAAGATGGTGGAGCAGAGATCTAGGATCATTTGGAGTAGGAAAGGTATATGGGAAGCTGCAGGGAGATGAAAAAGGCTTTGTGCACCTCACAGACTGAGCAGATGCAAAGAACGAAGTTCTTTCATCTATGGGAACCACAGTCTTAATCTGATTTAAGAGTAAGTTTCTCTCTCTGAATGGACATCCCAACACCATTCAGGGAGGCCGAGTGGTCTACTCGACAGAGGACTGTCCTCTGCTTGAAAGTTTCCTCTCTTCCTAAGGTTTGCAGTCCAAGTCCAGTTTGAAAATAAGGAGCCTTAGAAGGGACAGTGGCCATCCTGGATTTAGCCAGCAGCAGCAGCAGCAGCAAACCGCTCACCGGGCACAATCTTCCCTACTATGGAAAGGAACTGTGGGTCAGTCACGGAAATCTTCTCCGCATTCCAGTTGGATGCAGCCCTGGCTCTCCGTCCTTTGTGGGTGACAAGGAAGCAGTCCCCCGTTCCCACCCCAGCTCAGAACTTCGTGGCAATTCTTTCTTCTAAGCACGACTGCTAAGCATTAATGGTTCAAGGTCGTTTTCAGTAGTGTTGTGATAAGAGGTTGCTGCACACGAACCATGACTTCATACATGCACCTTTGCCATAGCTCGGGGGGGAATATACACATAGACATGCAAGAACGGCAGACACGCAAACCAAATTCACTCCCGTGAATAAATACCTCGCCACCATTGCAAACAAAATTTCATACTCTCTGGGCACACCCTTCTTCCAAGGAGCCCAGCTTTCTTGGATTTAAGTTGGACTGAGAACTAGCAACTGTTCGGGGCCGTCCAGTGACCCTCGCGGCAAAGAGGTGATTCGAGCCCCAGGCAAATGGTGCATCTCTGCCCACGCTTCCAAGCGACCAAGGAGCGTTGCTTCTTCCCCTCTGCGTGCTCTTAGGGCTGCAGCCATTCGGCTTGGCTGCCTTCTTCGCGAAGGACTCGCTTACAACGCTTTGGGGGAACACATGAGGGTCCTTCAGCCGACTTCTCTGGGGAATGACAGAAACAGCTCTCAAATCCAGCAGAAGAAGCGCAAGGAAGAAACCGAGGAAAATGTTCCAGTTTCCTGTCCCTGTCACAAGGCTAAGTGACAGCAGGGCACAGAAAGACAGAATTCTATCCACAAGCTTCATGCAGATTGTCAAAGGGTGAAGAAACTCTGAGCAAAGCACAGGAACAGGCAGAGCACTTGCCATTCCTCAGGCAGAAGTGTACAGACAACGGGTGTTTCAGAGAAATGATGAGAGTTTAACCCTCTATACACAGATAAAAACTTGCTTAAAAACATTGGGGGATCTTACCGGGCCATTGTACTATTGTGCATTATGTCCCATAAGTAACCTCAATCACATTGCCAGTAGGGTTAGCTTTGTGCACTGGGATTCCTGGAAAATCCTATTGTTTACGCCAGAGGTTGTGAGAGCAGTCCTTTCCGCAAGCAAAATGAAATTTGCATTAATGCACTGACATGGCAGGATACTCAGCAAAGTAATCCTAATTCTTCCTATACCTGAACCAAATGTTTCCCCTCTGTTATGCCCCCCACCCCTCCCCTGTTCCCTCCATTTTGCGATTACTCTCCTAATTGCCGCACACACCGATTGTACTGCACACATAAATAATGATTGCATGTTAAATTACAGTTTGTGTAGAATTAGGGTATGTTTTATTCTTCTTCGCAGTGGCAGCGTTGCAAGACACAGGTGTGGAAAAGGCAGTGCAGGAAGACAGAACCCATCCTCACCCAAACAGTTCTCTGAAATCCGACACCCTCCACTTACAGGGCCTGCCTGTTTTCACACCTGTCTCCACAACCATGTGGACTAGAAATTTGCTTTGAAAGCAGAAGCTGAGATTCCTGGAGTCTACAAAAGATGATGCAAGATTCTGTACGTATGTATAAGGAATGATTACCTCCACCCTCTGTGCATCTGAAGGATCTATCTGAACAGCCAAAGGGTTCAGGGAAATACATGAACTGTACAAGGGCCAAGTGAAAACATTCCCATTCCATGCATCCAGTAAGAAACACATGTGTGTTTATTGTGTCCATGCCTACTTAGATAAAAAGACTCAGCTCTCTAGGTGATGGTTTCAACCATGCTAGCAGTCAATGCTGGGGCAGAAAATCTTTCCCCCTTTGCCTGTCTCCTCCAGGGTTTGAATCCAGGCAGTTTTAAATCCTACTCAGTTTAACCCAGCTTCCTGGGAGGGACAGGTCTTCCCTGGCTAAGTTTCCTGGGGACCAAAGCTTTGGTGGCACCAGCTTTGCCCTTAGGGAAGGGGGCTTGTAGGGCAGAATGGCTTTGCTTCCCATCCTCTTTCCCAGCTCTCCACCCATTCCATCTGGAATAGCTCCGAGAAGAGCAAGCCAGAAAAGAGCTGGCTGATGCACCCTTGCTGAAGCTGGTCAGAAGGGGAAGCTGAGGTGCCGGCCGGCCGGCCTCCCCGGGACTCAGATCCTGCCGGGGCTTTCAAAACCCCAACCTCCCGCCTCGTGCTGCCCTCCCTGCCTGGAAGAATGCCCAAGTGCAGTAGGTGCCTGCCTTCTCTGCAGCAAAGGCCAGAAAGCTGTGCCAGACGGAAAATGGAGCTGGCTTTGCCTGCTCGCGTTTGCCGTCTGTCAGCAAGAGGAAGAGAACCGTGCGGCATTGGAAGGTGCTGCGAAGACTTATTGCCCTGGGAGCAGAACTGGAACTGGAGCAGATGACAACAGTCCGCTCTGGCTACAGGAACCTTTAATTAGCCTTTTTGGATGCAGGAAGAAGCTCACTCCAGATCCGTGCTTGGCCACTGGAAGGGCTGTTTTGGTGTGCAGGGATGCGAGAGAACAGCGTTCAGCTGGACTGGCGGCAGTCAGGGCAAATGTTACAGCTGGCAAATGTTTTCAGTTGCAGGACAGATTGGAAGCCGCAAATAAGCCACCTTGAGGAATCCAGCCGCACTCAAAATAGCAAAAATGCCATTTCTTCGTACCCTTTGCAGATGAATTCCTTTACAATGCTGAATAAGCGATTCCCTTTATAACCCCCAACTATTCTTTATGTTATTGTCTCAAAGCTTTGCAAAACAAATTAATTTCACTGCTATCACTATGACGCAAACCATCCTTAAGCCCTTCTTTCAGTAATGAATGCTTGACCTTCTTTCCAGAACCTTGTGATGGTAATACATTCTGAGAAACTATAAAAATAAGTTTCAAGCCATATCTTTGCCTAGGAATAACAGAGCCAAGGAAGATGGATGCTCGGACTGAGATCTGGAGCATGGTGACAGCTTCTGCTATTGCTATTCTATTTTTTTCCAGGAACCCTCTTGGAAAAGTACAATAAATCTCCCTTATATTTACACCATCGCAAGCAATTGCTGCGATCCCATTTGTTTGCGTCTATCATAAAATTTCACGATGCCGAGTGCATACTCTTCCTTTTTGTACGGCTTGATGCTCACTTAATGATCTTGATAGCAATCGTAACTAGCTTTCGGAATTTGTGGCTGTCACAGGCAGGGGAGGGGAGCTGGAAAAGGGACATCAAACGAGCATCTTGCATCTTTAGTGCCTAAAATAGGAGCTGTGAGCAAGTCAGTTGGTAACACTGGTTTTGTTTGCTCCCTAGTTACTCCTCTGTGCTGCATTCATGGAAGTGAAGTCAAGGAATTATCTGATTTGTTGAATGTTGAAGGAGCAGTAGATGGCTATGATCGTGCAAATCCATTCCAC